TACAGCACAAATAATTAAGGTATCATGATTTTGTAATTCAAAGTGTGAGATGCCAAAAAGAGTTTTTTTTTTTATTGATACTGAAATATCACAACTATTTCTTTGTGAAATTTATAGTATTTCTGTCTGATTCTAAAAACATTAAAATCTTAGGGCCAATTTTATCCCTTCGTTTAACTTACTCCTGATGCTCAGAATTGGAGACCAAAATATCATACTAGTAAAAGTGGTGTATTATAGGTCTTGTTCCATCAGAAAACGAATATATATTTTAGACTTTTAAATGAAAATGAATCCTTACAATCACAAATCAGGTTTGACAATTAGCATGGATGCGTGTAACTAAAACTTGTGATAATAGTAACGGTTTTTGTAACAATTATAGAAATACTTGTAACTGTTCTAGTCATTAGGTGGACTATCCTGTCTCTGTTTGGTGTGCACTTGCATACTTAACAAGTCCAAAATAATTTTGACAGAAATGAAAAATGAAAACTTCATTCTAAGATATACATAAACTTAATCAAGTGTCAAATGTTTCATTACAAAATAAGCAGAAATGATTTCTAATGAGATAACTATCCACCAGAGAGTACATATCATAGATGTTCAGAATAAGAATAAATTACCAATATCTGAGTGGTTGAATCTGAAATCTCATTTTACATGGATAAGGGGGCATTGCCACTAAAAAACAACAGAGATGTGCGTAAAGGAGTAGGCCCGGTTAAAGACCACTTTTTGGCCCCAAAATATAGCATTTTTACAATTTGTTTAAAATGTAAACTTATAGCTATTTATTGGAAAGTAGAATACTTCAGTTACATAAATATGGGCTGTTTTTTTACAATACTATGCAAATTCATCATTAAGTCATGTAAAATTTCTAAAATCTTCACAATTTTAGCATTTGTGCCAATATTTAGACAGTTTTTATCTAAAATGGAAGTGGTCGCAATTGTGTTCAGTCTTAATATTTAAATACATGCTGTATTTGATGATAATACATAACATATATAAAGGTTGAGACTGAACACGAATGCGGCCACTTATATTTTAGACAAAAACCATCTGAAAAGTGATGTTTTATGGCATATTTGAAAGATTTTTCATAGTGAAGCTTGAATTTGAGCGCCTTTAATGACCAAATCAGTTCAAATCTTTTACATTAACTAATTGAATCAAATGAAGTAGACACTTAAAGTGTTTAAAAAATGTAAAAAATCTTTCATCAGAAGTACTTAAAATTTTACGCCAAAATTAGCCCTTACTGGACCTTTTCCTTTAAGGGCATACGATACAGTAGAGATCCCTCGTTGATTTTTTCTTGAAATTTTGGTAGAAGGTCAATTTCGATGTGTACTTTTAAAATATGCAAAGAAAAATATACCTTCATGACTTACTTTTTGAGATAATTTGGTTCGAAATTTGCATATTTGAAGGAAAACCCTGAAATTTCATAAATAAGGACTTTTAAGGAAAGTACCAATACTTTTGAACGAACAGTCATATTTTAACCGGGTTTTTTGTAAAATGTTCCCTTGATCCATGGCATCAGCATGTTGTAACAAGTTAACGGTTGAAATAAATAATTATATCCTAAATTCGTTTAATACAAGTGAAATAAAGAAGTTGAAAATATTTTTGCGTCTACACAGAAGTACAGAAAAAATTCTATCGTTGATTTTTTCTTAAAATTTTGGCGGAGCGTTCTTGAAACAGAACTTGATCGATTGCAAAAGAAAAAACTGGGGGTCCATGTGCTTGTTTTTTCAATAAAAGCAATAAACCTTAATTTTTATTGGCAAACGGGACGTTTGTCAATAAGGCGCAAACTTCGTTGGAATAAGTTTTATTCGCAACAACGTTGTGAAATCTTTCCCGCCGTTCACTATACTACGTTGTCAATTTCAGTGGTAGAGCCAATGTGTTTTTTTTAAACCAATGATATTAATCATGAAAATTAATAAAGCTGGCTCCTCGTAAAATAGCATCATATTTGCCAAACCTTTATGAATTGTTACGAAACTTGGATAGAAAAATTATTCTAGTAAATTACTTTTAGAAAAGAAATGTTCGGAAACAAAACAGATATATTTAATAAAAAAAATTAATTTGCCTCTCTGTCCGACATTAGTCATACAATTCATGTAGACAACACAGCTTGAACATAGTTTTAATTATTCAAAAGGCCCCGACATGACAAAATGTGCATCAATTATAAAGTTCGGGGGATGATATAGAAATAAGGACATTTGGTATGATTGCAAAAGAGACAACTATCAACCATAGTTCAAATGACGAATATAAACGCTATTAAAGGTTACCCTACGGTCTTCAACACAATAAAAAAAAAAGAAAAAGAAAGAGCCACACCGTATAGTCAGCTTTAAAAAGCCCCGACATGAAAATGTGAAATAATTCAAACAAGAAAACTAACGACCTACTCTATAGGCATTACATGAACACAAAATCATACCCACATTAAATCGGGTCAGCTTAGTCAATTACAGTGTAGTATAACATTCCATACAGCAGTCGATATTAGAGCATGAAATTTAATGATTCTGTATCAATAGATAAGTTACCTAAGCTTGTCTTCAGGTTTTTTTTTATTACGGTACATATAATCATTGAATTACTTTCTCTGTATTGTACCTTCAATCTAGGAGTGAGTGCAACCACATTGATTGTCTGGTCCAACAAATATTTTGTTTCTTATCTGAGAAACTCATTTACAAAAAGACTTCGTATTTGGTCAGTAACTTAACATCAATGAGTTGCAACTCTGGTCTGTCAAATACCTAATTCCTGTGTGCCGATTTTTCTCTCTCAATATGTACACAGAGGATATGCTTAGCACATCAACGGGTGCGTTTTTGTTTTTGGTCTATGATACGGGGCTTATAACTGAGTCATTTTAACTGACAATTCTCCTTCATACACTTATATATTCCACGGGTTAAATTCTAAAAATGTTTTTTAAACTCTTTAATGTACCTTTTCAAAGTCAGGAGCAGTAAGATGCGCTGTCATTATTTATTGCGTTTTTTTGTCATTTTGTTGATAGTCTCTGTTAAATTTATCCGTACAATTCTCATTACGATTTAGAGTTAGCCAAATGGTGAAGTTACTATATAAAAAAAATTTGTTGTGTAGTTGGGTTTCTCTCTCTTCGATGTCTTATGTGTTTCATATCTCTTATTCATTTTCTATATGAAATAACAGACATACAAAATAAAGAATGTGGATTTGATTTTTTCCCATTCGAAGTTAATATTGTTGACTTCCTTATTAATGAATAAAGGAATAATTCTCGTGATTTGGCCTATTTTCATTGCAGGTACTTTTTTCAAATTCGCGCAATCGGGATTATGACGTCAGTGGATTTCCGCAAATGTGACTACATCTAAAGCGACGTCGCGAAATGTAATCGTTCTTATTAGAAACATCGCGAAATTACAACGTTCTGATTAACAACGTCGCGAAAACGACACGAAAAGTTTTAAAAACGTTATTATCTGCCCTTGCTACTGTATCGTATGCCCTTAAAGCTCTGCATTATGAAAGGCCATATATATGGACCATTTTCAAGGGTTTTTTAAAGTGCAGAGAACTGGACATTCTTTCAACATGTGCTATTGAGTTGTCTCATTAGCAATCATACCACATCGTAGTATCTTTATACTGAAGATCTCTTTTAATAGCTGTTCTTCATCTTGAAACCTCATGGATAGTTTTCAGCAATAAAAGTACAATGTCTTAAACAAATACTCCAACTCAAAGTCATTTCATTTTCTTGCAATGGGTACAGTCTACTGTAGGTAGACAATATACCAAGTGAATGGTATTAATACAAACCCTGTTGTGGTCAGAATTTTGGTACTGACATTACTTATAGACACTATGTCTAGGAAACATTTAAAACTTGAAAAATCTTACTTTGTGAAGTACCACACTGATTCCCACAACAAATACACTTAAGATGATTTCATAAAAATGCTGGACTGTTTAATTAACAACATATTTGTTGAGATTGGTGGATTGATATTTCAGCAGAAGGTATTCCAATGGGAACATATTGTGCACCACTAGTGGTTGATTTGTTTTGTACTCATATGAAGCAGAATTAATATCAAAACATCTCAAAGACAAAAAGAACACCTTGGTGTATGCATGTGCATTAATAATAATTGAATGGAAATTTCAGTACAGTATATCTAAAGCTCATACAATTTTGTTTTCAAATATCATTTCTATTAATCAATGAATCCACTACCTATATACTTCTAATTATTTGTTGTTTCTTGTGAATCATTCCAGATAATTAGGGGTTTATTTGAACTCACTGATAATATGGTCTAATTAATAAAAGCAATTTCGAAAAGACGTTTCAACAATAGTTAAAATAATAGACAAAATGGATAAGCGTTGGATCGTAAAAGATATACCATTCACCCTGCATGTTCATGGTATCTTTTTACCGAAACCAACATTCATTATGTAATATATTGAAATATAAAAAATCATCAATTAATTCTTCAGATGCTCTTTCTTGATCATGTGGAAAGTCCTTCAAAATTTCATCACACTCCATGAAGGTTTTACAAAATTATTGATGTCTAAAATATTTTATCCCAGACTGCATTAAAATGTTAATTACAAAAAATGCGCTCCGCCTGGAGCATCTGGATATGACTGAAGAAGTCGAACTCTGAATAGTTGGGGCAAGTATGGACACAATATTCAAGCTTGATACAGCTCCGAATTTGGATAGTGATTAAATATTTGACACAGAATAAATGTGGTGAGATAACTTAAAAAATTTGAGATGGGACATTTAATCTACTTAATGGTCCAATATCCAAAATCTAATTCCATGGTAAGATTCAGCATATAAAAATAAAAAGTGCTTCGCTGAGCGCAGCTGGATACGCCAGCAGAGGTCCAACCCTGAACAGTTGGTGCAAAAATGGACACAATATTCAAGCTTGATAGAGGTCTGAATTTGGATTGTAATTAAATATTTGACATATTATAGGTTTCTGAATAAATGTAGTCAAAGAACTTGAAATTGGTTATATGAATTGAATTTATCTTCAATTAAAGATTTCTTGCTGTTGTGCAATACTTAGTAAATCTGTTTTCAAACTATAAACAAATAAAGTTCAATTTCTTCTCAATGTCATATTTGAAATTTATGAAAATCAATAGGGAGATTACATCAATAGCTATAAATAATTCACCAAAGTTTCATGAGAACTGCTGAAAGCATTTTTGAGTTATTGTCCAAAAACTGGAAAATCCCCCCTTTTTGAATGAATACAACCCCATAACTCAGAAATGTAAAATCTAACATTTATAAAATTCTAAAGGGAGCTTACATCAACAGATATAAACAATTCACCAAAGTTTCATGAGAACTGCTGTAAGCATTTTTTAGTTATTGTCCGAAAACTGGAAAATCCCCCTTTTTTTATGAATAAAACCCTGTAACTTGGAAACGTCAAATCTAAAATTTATAAAAATCAAAAGGGAGCTCATATCAATAGCTATAAACAATTCACCAAAATTCCTTGCAAGTTGGTGAAAGCATTCTTGAGTTATTGTCCGAAAACTGGAAAATCCCCCTTTTTTTAATGAATAAAACCCCAAAACTCGGAAACAGTAAATCTGAAATTTATAAAAAACAAGAGGGAGCTCACGTTAATTGATATAAACAATTCACCAAAGTTTCATGCATATTGGTTAAAGTTTTTTTGAGTTAATGTCCGACATGTTGACGACGGACGGACAGAGGTATACCATAATACGTCCCGTAAATGGGCGTATAAAAAAACCATCAATTTAAAAAAAGTTTAATTTTGGACCCTTTGGACCTTAATATAGACTAATTTGAAAACAGGGCCCAAAATTAAAAATCTGAATGCACAATTAGATTCAGCATATCGATATATAGAACCACCAGAATTTAGTTTTTGATGAAATCAAACAAAGTCTAATTTTGGACCCTTTGGACCTCAATGTAGACCTATTTAAAAATGTCCAAATATCCAATATAGTATTGCATGGTAAAAACCTCAAACAATTCAAGACTTTAAATCAATTCTCATTGAAATTGGTTAAAAGATTTATATTTATTTTCAACTGAAGAGTTCTTGCTGTTGTGCAATACTTTGCTGTTGTGCAATACTCAGCAAATCTGTTTACAAACTAAATATAACAAGCATTCTGAGAGTATTGCATGGCAATACATAGTCACCTACCGATTAAAAATTCATTTTACTCAAACAAAATGCTAACTTGATCTATAAATTGTCATGGTGTAAACTATATAACAAATATCAAGTCAAAGTCTTCAAGCATGACGAAAAAAAGTGTGGAAAACTGATTATTTAAGTGAATTTTCGAAGTCCAAGGAACATAACTCTGCACAAAATCATCAGACCGTAACAAAATTCAAACTTGATCTGTAACTTGTCATGATAAAAGCATATACCAATTATCAAACCAATATCTTCAAGCATGACTAAACTAGAGGCTCTAAAGAGCCTGTGTCGCTCACCTTGGTCTATGTGCATATTAAACAAAGGACACAGGTGGATTCATGACAAAATTGTGTTTTGGTGATGGTGATGTGTTTGTAGATCTTACTTTACTGAACATTCTTGATGCTTACAATTATCTCTATCTATAATGAACTTGGCCCTGTAGTTTTAGTGGAAATTATTTTGTAAAAATTTACAAAATTTATGAAAATTGTTAAAAATTTATTATAAAGGGCAATAACTCCTTAAGGGGTCAATTGACCATTTTGGTCATGTGACTTATTTGTAGGTCTTACTTTGCTGTACATTATTGCTCTTTACAGTTTATCTCTATCTATAATAATATTCAAGATAATAACCAAAAGCTGAAAAAATTTCTAAAAATTACCAATTCAGGGGCAGCAACCCAACAACGGGTTGCCTGAATGGTCTGAAAATTTAAGGGCAGATAGATCTTGCCCTAATGAACAATTTTGTTTTTGAAAGATTTGCTAGAAATGCTTTGGGTTTAGATATATGAGCCAAAAACTGCATTTTACCCTATGTACTATTATTAGCCATGTCGGCCATCTTGGTTTGAGGGTGGGGTCATCAAACACAATTTTTAAACTACATATCCTAATGATGATTGTTTACAACTTTAGTTAAATTCATCTTAGTAGTTTCAGAGAAGATTTTTGTAAAAGATAACAAAAATTTACGAAAAATTGTTAAAAATTTACTATAAAAGAGCAATAACTCCTTAAGGGGTCAACTGACCATTTTGGTCATGTTGACTTATTTGTAGAACTAACTTTGCTGAACATTATTGCTGTTTACAGTTTATCTCTATCTATAATAATATTCAAGATAATAACCAAATACGGCAAAATTTCCTTAAAATTACTAATTCAGGGGCAGCAACCTAACAACGGGTTGTCCGATTCATCTGAAAATTTCAGGGCAGATAGATCTTGAGCTAATAAACATTTTTACCCTGTCAGATTTGTTCTCAATGCTTTGGTTTCAGAGATATAAGCCAAAATCTACATTTTATCCCTATGTTCTATTTTTAGCCATGGCGGCCAGATACCCTAATGATGATATTGGCCAAGTTTGGTTAAATTTGGCCCAGTAGTTTCAGAGGAGAAGATTTTTGTAAAAGTTTACGGACGACGGACGCCAAGTGATGAGAAAAGCTCACTTGGCCCTTTGGGCCAGGTGAGCTAAAAAAACCGAGGAAAACTGATTATTTGAGTAAATTTTCTAAGTCCAAGGATCATAACTCTGCACAAAATCATCAGACCGGAACAAAATTCAAATTGATCTGTAACTTGTCATGATAAAACAATACACCAAATATCAAATCAATATCTTCAAGCACAAAGAAAAAAAGTGTGGAAAACTGATTTGCCGGACTGACGGATGGATGGACAAACAGACAGACAGAAGGACGGACGGAGTGCATACCTAAAGTCCCCTTGGCTTTCGTCGGTAGGGGACTTATAATTTACACACCCTGTTTGGTGTGTATCTTCTGCCATATCAGTATTTGTTGTTTCTTTAAATAGATCAGAAATAATTTATGTTAGAACCAGCTTAGCCAGTATTAGAAAAGTTTTGTTTTTGGCCCCTATTTGGCCTCTAGTTTCTTAACGATTAAAGCCACAACCCACAAAATCGACCCCAACCTTCTGTGTGTAGTATGGAACATTGTGGTACAATTTCAAAGAGATCCATTGACTAATAATTAAGTATTTGTCCGGAAACCAGAAAAAACCTTCTTCCTCCCCCCCTGTTTTGCCCCTTATTCCTGAACAGTTTGAACCATAACCCCCAAAGTCAAATCCAATCTTCCCTTTGTGCTATGGAACCTTGTGTTTTAATTTCATAGAGATCCATAGACTAATACTTAAGTAATTGTCCATTAACCAGAACAAACTGCTTTGCTGAGCGCAGCTGGATACGCCCGCAGATCTCCAACCCTGAACAGTTGGGACAAAAATGGACACAATATTTAAGCTTGATACAGGTCTGAATTTGGATTGTAATTAAATCTTTGACATATTATAGGTTTCTGAATAAATGTAGTCAAAAAACTTGAAATTGGTTATATGAATTGAATTTATATTCAATTAAAGATTTCTTGCTGTTGTACATGTGCAATACACTATGCTGCTGCACAATACTTAGTAAACCTGTTGTTGGACTATAAACAAATAAAATTTATAAAATTCTAGAGGGAGCTTACATCAATAGATATAATCAATGCACCAAAGTTTCATAAGAATTGCTGAAAGCATTTTTGAGTTATTGTCTGAAAACTGGAAAATCCCCCCTTTTTAAATGAATAAAACCCCATAACTCGGAAATGTAAAATCTAAAATTTATAAAATTCTAAAGGGACCTTACATCAATAGATATCAACAATTCATCAAAGTTTCATGAGAACTGCTGAAATCATTTTTGAGTTATTGTCCGAAAACTGGAAAATCTCCCTTTTTTTTTATGAATAAAACCCTGTAACTTGGAAACGTAAAATCTAAAATTTATAAAAATCAAAAGGGAGCTCATGTCAATACATATAAACAATTAACCAAAATTTCTTGCAAGTTGGTGAAAGCATTCTTGAGTTATTGTCTGAAAACTGGAAAATCCCCCTCTTTTTAATGAATAAAACCCCATAACTCAGAAATGTAAAATCTAAAATTTATAAAAAACGAAAGGGAGCTCACGTCAATAGTTATAAACAAATCACCAAAGTTTTATGCAAATTGGTTAAAGAGTTTTTGAAATAATGTCCGACATGTTGACTACGGACGGACAGACGGATGGACGGACAGACAGACAGACGGACAACGGTATACCATAATGCGTCCTGTAAAAGGGGGTATCAAAACCTTGTTTTTGCCCCCTTTTTTTGCCCCTAATTCCTGAACAGTTTGGGCCATAACCCCCAAGGCCAATCCCAACCTTCCCTTTGTGGTACGGAACCTTGTGGTACAATTTCATAGAGATCCATACACTTGTACACAAGTTATTGTAGGCAACCTAGAATAAAATCCTTCACTGGGGCGCAGCTTGATACGACCGCAGAGGTCGAACCCGGAACAGTTGGGGCAAGAATGGACACAACATTCAAGCTTGATACAGCTCTGAATTTGGATTGTTATTAAATATTTGACACAGCATAGGTTTCTGACACAGAAAGAATGTGATCTAAGAACTTGAATTTTTTTAATTTACCTATTATGGTCCAATGTCCAAAATCAAAATACATGGTTAGATTCAGCATATCAAAGAACCCCATATTTTCAATTTTTGTTGAAATCAAACAAAGTTTAATTTTGGACCCCAACTTGGACCAACTTGAAAACTGGGCCCATAATCAAAAATCTAAACACATGTTTAGATTTAGCATATCAAAGAACCCTAAGAATTCAATTTTTGTTAAAATCAAACTAAGTTTAATTTTGGACCCTTTGGACCTCAATGAAGACCAATTTTAAAAAATGGGACCCAAATTAAAAATCTAAAAACACGGTTAGATTTGGCATATCAAAGAACCCCAATAATTCAATTTTTGATGAAATCAAACAAAGTTTAATTTTAGACCCTTTTGACCTCAATATGAACCAATTTTATAGCGGGGCCCACAAATAAAAAATCTAAATACATGGTTAGATTCAGCATATCAAAGAACCTCATTTATTCAATTTTTGTTGAAATCAAACAAAGTTTAATTTTGGACCCCAATTTAGACCAACTTGAAAACTGGGCCCATAATCAAAAATCTAAATACATGTTTAGATTCAGCATATCAAAGAACCCCATATATTCAATTTTTGTTGAAATCAAACAAAGTTTAAATACTGGACCCTATCTTGGACCAACTTGAAAACTGGGCCCATAATCAAAAATCTAAACACATGAGAACTTGAATTTTTTTAATTTACCTATTATGGTCCAATGTCCAAAATCAAAATACATGGTTAGATTCAGCATATCAAAGAACCCCATATTTTCAATTTTTGTTGAAATCAAACAAAGTTTAATTTTGGACCCCAACTTGGACCAACTTGAAAACTGGGCCCATAATCAAAAATCTAAACACATGTTTAGATTTAGCATATCAAAGAACCCTAAGAATTCAATTTTTGTTAAAATCAAACTAAGTTTAATTTTGGACCCTTTGGACCTCAATGAAGACCAATTTTAAAAAATGGGACCCAAATTAAAAATCTAAAAACACGGTTAGATTTGGCATATCAAAGAACCCCAATAATTCAATTTTTGATGAAATCAAACAAAGTTTAATTTTAGACCCTTTTGACCTCAATATGAACCAATTTTATAGCGGGGCCCACAAATAAAAAATCTAAATACATGGTTAGATTCAGCATATCAAAGAACCTCATATATTCAATTTTTGTTGAAATCAAACAAAGTTTAATTTTGGACCCCAATTTAGACCAACTTGAAAACTGGGCCCATAATCAAAAATCTAAATACATGTTTAGATTCAGCATATCAAAGAACCCCATATATTCAATTTTTGTTGAAATCAAACAAAGTTTAAATACTGGACCCTATCTTGGACCAACTTGAAAACTGGGCCCATAATCAAAAATCTAAACACATGTTTAGATTTAGCATATCAAAGAACCCCAAGAATTCAATTTTTGTTAAAATCAAACTAAGTTTAATTTTGGACCCTTTGGACCTCAATGAAGACCAATTTTAAAAAATGGGACCCAAATTAAAAATCTAAAAACACGGTTAGATTTGGCATATCAAAGAACCCCAATAATTCAATTTTTGATGAAATCAAACAAAGTTTAATTTTAGACCCTTTTGACCTCAATATGAACCAATTTTATAGCGGGGCCCACAAATAAAAAATCTAAATACATGGTTAGATTCAGCATATCAAAGAACCTCATATATTCAATTTTTGTTGAAATCAAACAAAGTTTAATTTTGGACCCCAATTTAGACCAACTTGAAAACTGGGCCCATAATCAAAAATCTAAATACATGTTTAGATTCAGCATATCAAAGAACCCCATATATTCAATTTTTGTTGAAATCAAACAAAGTTTAAATACTGGACCCTATCTTGGACCAACTTGAAAACTGGGCCCATAATCAAAAATCTAAACACATGAGAACTTGAATTTTTTTAATTTACCTATTATGGTCCAATGTCCAAAATCAAAATACATGGTTAGATTCAGCATATCAAAGAACCCCATATTTTCAATTTTTGTTGAAATCAAACAAAGTTTAATTTTGGACCCCAACTTGGACCAACTTGAAAACTGGGCCCATAATCAAAAATCTAAACACATGTTTAGATTTAGCATATCAAAGAACCCTAAGAATTCAATTTTTGTTAAAATCAAACTAAGTTTAATTTTGGACCCTTTGGACCTCAATGAAGACCAATTTTAAAAAATGGGACCCAAATTAAAAATCTAAAAACACGGTTAGATTTGGCATATCAAAGAACCCCAATAATTCAATTTTTGATGAAATCAAACAAAGTTTAATTTTAGACCCTTTTGACCTCAATATGAACCAATTTTATAGCGGGGCCCACAAATAAAAAATCTAAATACATGGTTAGATTCAGCATATCAAAGAACCTCATATATTCAATTTTTGTTGAAATCAAACAAAGTTTAATTTTGGACCCCAATTTAGACCAACTTGAAAACTGGGCCCATAATCAAAAATCTAAATACATGTTTAGATTCAGCATATCAAAGAACCCCATATATTCAATTTTTGTTGAAATCAAACAAAGTTTAAATACTGGACCCTATCTTGGACCAACTTGAAAACTGGGCCCATAATCAAAAATCTAAACACATGTTTAGATTTAGCATATCAAAGAACCCCAAGAATTCAATTTTTGTTAAAATCAAACTAAGTTTAATTTTGGACCCTTTGGACCTCAATGAAGACCAATTTTAAAAAATGGGACCCAAATTAAAAATCTAAAAACACGGTTAGATTTGGCATATCAAAGAACCCCAATAATTCAATTTTTGATGAAATCAAACAAAGTTTAATTTTAGACCCTTTTGACCTCAATATGAACCAATTTTATAGCGGGGCCCACAAATAAAAAATCTAAATACATGGTTAGATTCAGCATATCAAAGAACCTCATATATTCAATTTTTGTTGAAATCAAACAAAGTTTAATTTTGGACCCCAATTTAGACCAACTTGAAAACTGGGCCCATAATCAAAAATCTAAATACATGTTTAGATTCAGCATATCAAAGAACCCCATATATTCAATTTTTGTTGAAATCAAACAAAGTTTAAATACTGGACCCTATCTTGGACCAACTTGAAAACTGGGCCCATAATCAAAAATCTAAACACATGTTTAGATTTAGCATATCAAAGAACCCCAAGAATTCAATTTTTGTTAAAATCAAACTAAGTTTAATTTTGGACCCTTTGGACCTCAATGAAGACCAATTTTAAAAAATGGGACCCAAATTAAAAATCTAAAAACACGGTTAGATTTGGCATATCAAAGAACCCCAATAATTCAATTTTTGATGAAATCAAACAAAGTTTAATTTTAGACCCTTTTGACCTCAATATGAACCAATTTGATAGCAGGGCCCACAAATAAAAAATCTAAATACATGGTTAGATTCAGCATATCAAAGAACCTCATATATTCAATTTTTGTTGAAATCAAACAAAGTTTAATTTTGGACCCCAATTTGGACCAACTTGAAAACTGGGCCCATAATCAAAAATCTAAATACATGTTTAGATTCAGCATATCAAAAAACCCCATATATTCAATTTTTGTTGAAATCAAACAAAGTTTAAATACTGGACCCTATCTTGGACCAACTTGAAAACTGGGCCCATAATCAAAAATCTAAACACATGTTTAGATTCAGCATATCAAAGAACCCCAAGAATTCAATTTTTGTTAAAATCAAACTAAGTTTAATTTTGGACCCTTTGGACCTTAATGTAGACCAATTTAAATAAAATGCTCCGCAGGGCGCAGCTTGATACGACCACAGAGGTCGAACCCTGAACAGTTGGGGCAAGTATGGACACAACATTCAAGCTTGATACAGCTCTGAATTTGGATTGTGATTAAATATTTGACACAGCATAGGTTTCTGACACAGAATGAATGTGGTCTTTGAACTTAAAAATTTTAAATTGGAAATTCACCTATTATGGTCCAATATCCAAAATCTAAATACATGGTTAGATTCAGCATATCAAAGAACCCCAAGAATTCAATTTTTGATGAAATCAAACAAAGTTTAATTTAGGACCCTTTTGACCTCAATGTGGACAAAGTTGATAATGGGGTCCAAAAATCAAAAATCTAAATACATGGTTAGATTCAGCATATCAAAGAACCCCATATATTCAATTTTTGTTGAAATCAAACAAAGTTTAATTTTGGACCCCGATTTGGACCAACTTGAAAACTGGGCCCATAATCAAAAATCTTAATACATGTTTAGATTCAGCATATCAAAGAACCCTAAGAATTCAATTTTTGTTAAAATCAAACTAAGTTTAATTTTGGACCCTTTGGACCTTAATGTAGACCAATTTGAAAACGGAACCAAAAATTAAGAATCTAAATACACGGTTAGATTCGCCATATCAAAGAACCCCAATAATTCAGTTTTTGATGAAATCAAACGAACTTTAATTTTGGACCCTTTGGACCTCAATGTGGACCAATTTAAAAACGGGGCCCAAAATCCAAAAACTAAATATACGGTTAGAATCAGCATATTAAAGAACCCCAATAATTCAATTTTTGATGAAATCAAACATCTTAATTTTGGACCCTTTGGACCTCAATGTGGACCAATTTAAAAACGGGGCCCAAAATCCAAAAACTTAATACGCGGTTAGAATCAGCATATTTAAGAACCCCAAGAATTTAAGAATATACCCCATTGAAATTGGTCAAGAAATAAGCAATTTATACGAAGTATCTTCTTTTGCACAATACTGTGCAATTGAATATTTCTTGCTATTGCGCAATATTGTGCTATTGGATATTTCTTGCTATTGCACAATACTGTGCAATTGAAGATTTCTTGCTATTGCGCAATACTGTGCAATTGAAGATTTCTTGCTATTGTGTAATACTGTGCAATTGAAAATTTCTTGCTATTGCACAATACTTATTATATAATAATTTACACATCCTGTTTGGTGTGTATCTCCTACCATATCATTATTATTTGCTTTTAAATATAAAACAGAAATAACCAACTTAAAATGGAAAATTTTAAAAGAAAATAAAATGCTTCGCTGGGCGCAGCTTGATACGACCGCAGAGGTCCAACCCTGAACAGTTGGGGCAAGTATGGACACAACATTCAAGCTTGATACAGCTCTGAATTTGGATTGTGATTAAATATTTGACACAGCATAGGTTCTGACATAGAAAGAATGTGGTCTAAGAACTTCAATTTTTTTAATTTACCTATTATGGTCCAATGTCCAAAATCAAAATACATGGTTAGATTCAGCATATCAAAGAACCCCATATATTCAATTTTTGTTGAAATCAAACAAAGTTTAATTTTGGACCCCAACTTGAACAAACTTGAAAACTGGTCCCATAATCAAAAATCTAAACACATGTTTAGATTCAGCATATCAAAGTACCCCAAGAATTCAATTTTTGTTAAAATCAAACTAAGTTTAATTTTGGACCCTTTGGACCTTAATGTAGACCAATTTAAAAAACGGGACCCAAAATTAAAAATCTAAAAACACGGTTAGATTTGGCATATCAAAAAACCCCAAAAATTAAATTTTTGATGAAATCAAACAAAGTTTAATTTTGGACCATTTTGACCTCAATATGAACCAATTTGATAGCGGGCCCACAAATAAAAAATCTAAATACATGGTAAGATTCAGCATATCAAAGAACCCCATATATTCAATTTTTGTTGAAATCAAACAAAGTTTAATTTTGGACCCCAATTTGGACCAACTTGAAAACTGGGCCAAAAATCTAAAATCTAAATACATGTTTAGATTCAGCATATCAAAGAACCCCATATATTCAATTTTTGTTGAAATCAAACAAAGTTTAATTTTGGACCCCAACTTGGACCAACTTGAAAACTGGGCCCATAATCAAAAATCTAAACACATGTTTAGATTCAGCATATCAAAGAACCCCAAGAATTCAATTTTTGTTAAAATCAAACTAAGTTTAATTTTGGACCCTTTGGACCTTAATGTAGACCAATTTAAAAACGGGACCCAAAATTAAAAATCTAAATACACGGTTAGATTTGGCATATCAAAGAACCCCAATAATTCAATTTTGATGAAATAAAACAAAGTTTAATTTTGGACCCTTTAGACCTCAATATGAACCAATTTGATAGCGGGTCCACAAATAAAAAATCTAAATACATTGTTAGATTCAGCATATCAAAGAACCCCAAGAATTCAATTTTTGATGAAATCAAACAAAGTTTAATTTTGGACCCTTTTGACCTCAATGTGGACAAAGTTGATAACAGGGCCCAAAAATCAAAAATCTAAATACATGGTTAGATTCAGCATATCAAAGAACCCCATATATTCAATTTTTGTTGAAATCAAACAAAGTTTAATTTTGGACCCCGATTTGGACCAACTTGAAAACTGGGCCCATAATCAAAAATCTAAATACATGTTTAGATTCAGCATATCAAAGTACCCTAAAAATTCAATTTTTGTTAAAAGCAAACTAAGTTTAATTTTGGACCCTTTTGACCTTAATGTAGACCAATTTGAAAACGGAACCAAAAATTAAGAATCTAAATACACGGTTAGATTCGGCATATCAAAGAACCCCAATAATTCAATTTTTGATGAAATCAAACAAAGTTAAATTTTGGACCCTTTGGACCTCAATGTGGACCAATTTAAAAACGGGGCCCAAAATCCAAAAACTTAATACACGGTTAGATTCAGCATATTAAAGAACCCCAAGAATTCAAGAATAAAACCCCATTGAAATTGATCAAGAAATAAGCAATTTATACGAAGTATCTTCTTTTGCACAATACTGTGCAATTGAATATTTCTTGCTATTGTGCAATACTGTACAATTGACAATTTCTTGCTATTGCGCAATATTGTGCTATTGGATATTTCTTGCTATTGCGCAATACTGTGCAATTGAAGATTTCTTGCTATTGCGCAATACTGTGCAATTGAAGATTTCTTACAATTGTGCAATACTGTGCAATTGAAAATTTCTTGCTATTGCACAATACTTATTATATAATAATATACACATCCTGTTTGGTGTGTATCTCCTACCATATCATTATTATTTGCTTTTAAATATTAATCAGAAATAACCAACTTAAAATGGAAAATTTTAAAAGAAAAAAAAAAGGAAAAAAAGAAAAAAAATAAAAAAAAAAAATTCCCCCCCCAAATTTTTTGAACCCCCTTATGATTCATCACCCCCAAACTCAATCCCAGCCTTTCCTTTGTGGTATGGTACCTTGCAGTACAATTTCAGAGAGACCCATACACTTGAACACAAGTTATTGTCTGGAAACTAGATAAATGCTTATTTTTGGCCCCTTTTTGGCCCCCAATTCCTAAACGTTTCGGGCAATTACCCCCAAACTCAATTCCAGCTTTCCCTTTGTGATATGGAACCTTGTAGTACAATTTCAAAAATATCCAAACACTTACACACAAGTTATTGTCATGAAACTAGAAAAATGCTTGTTTTTTGCCCCTTTTTTGGCCCCTAATTCCTAAAATTTTGAGGCAATTACCCCCAAAATCAATTACAGCCTTCCCTTTGTGATATGGAACCTTGTGGTACAATGTCAGAGAGATCCATACACTTACACACAAGTTATTGTCTGGAAGTTACAAAAATGCTTATTTCTGGCCCCTTTTTGGCCCCTAATTCCTTAACTGTTGGTACCATAACCCCCAAAATCAATCCCCACCTTCCTTTCGTGGTATTGAACCTTATGGTAAAATTTCATGGAGATCCATTCACTTAAACTAAAGTTAGAGTGCGAAAACCAATGTGTCTTCGGACGACGCCGGACGACGACGACGACGACGACGACGACGACGACGACAACGACGACGACGACGACGCCAACGTCATACCAATATACGACCAAAAAATTTTCAATTTTTGCGGTCGTATAAAAAATAGGAAAAAAAGAAAAAAAATGAAAAAAAAAAATCCCCCCCCCCCCCCAGATTTTTTGAACCCCCTTATGATTCATCACCCCCAAACTCAATCCCAGCCTTCCCTTTGTGGTATAGTACCTTGCAGCACAATTTCAGAGAGATCCATACACTTGAACACAAGTTATTGTCTGGAAACTAGAAAAATGCTTATTTTTGGCCCCTTATTCCTAAACATTTTGGGCAATTACCCCCAAACTCAATTCCAGCTTTCCCTTTGTGATATGGAACCTTGTAGTACAATTTCAGAAAGATCCATACACTTACACACAAGTTATTGTCATGAAACTAGAAAAATGCTTGTTTTTTGCCCCTTTTTTGGCCCCTAATTCCTAATATTTTGAGGCAATTACCCCCAAAATCAATCCCAGCATTCCCTGTGTGATATGGAACCTTGTGGTACAATGTCAGTGAGATCCATACACTAACACACAAGTTATGTCTGGAAGTTACAAAAATGCTTATTTTTGGCCCCTAATTCCTTAACTGTTGGTACCATAACCCCCAAAATCAATCCCAACCTTCCTTTTGTGGTATTGAACCTTATGGTAAAATTTCATAGAGATCCATTCACTTAAACTAAAGTTAGAGTGCGAAAACCAATGTGTCTTCGGACGACGACGCCAACGTCATACCAATATACGACCGCAAAAATTTTTTGCGGTCGTATAAAAACAGGACCCAAAACTAAAAATCTAAATACACGGTTAGATTTGGAATATCAAAGAACCCCAATAATTCAATTTTAGATGAAATCAAACAAAGTTTAATTTTGGACCCTTTTGACCTCAATATGAACCAATTTGATAACGGGGTCCACAAATAAAAAATCTAAAAACATGGTTAGATTCAGAATATCAAAGAACCCCATACATTCAACTTTTGTTGAAATCAAACAAAGTTTAATTTTGTACCCCAATTTGGACCAACTTGAAAACTGGGCCAAAAATCAAAAATCTAAATACATGTTTAGATTCAGCATATCAAAGAACCTCATGTATTCAACTTTTGCTAAAATCAAACAAAGTTTAATTTTGGACCCTTTGGACCTTAAGGTAGACCAATTTGAAAACTTGACCCAAAATTAAAAATCTAAATACACTGTTAGATTCGGCATAAAAAATAAATAAATGTGATCAAAGATTTTACAAATCTAATGCGCCATACTGTGCAATTAAAGATTACTTCTTGAAATTTTTCAATATTTGAAATTTGAAAAAAAAATAATAATTGAAGAATAATTCTTTTTAATTTCTGAAATCTGAAATGAGAAAAAATTGACCCCCCACAATTTCTTTTTATCCCCCCCCCCCTTTTTTCCCCCAAAAAATTCTTTCCCTCAAGATATGGTCATAATCTCAATTCAAATTTCCAATGGAGTTGGCAACCATAATTACCCATTTAAATTTACCATAGTGCTAACTTAATCTATTTTATAATAGAATTAAAAATATAGTGTCAAATCTTTCATATGGATATTTTTGTAAAAAAAAAAGATGCAACATTTGCAGATATTTTTACTGGTCTTCCTTTATAAATATGTATTTCTTTAAACATAATTTAAAAGCAGTGTAAGGGAAGTAACCAAAATGTTGTATTTGGAATACCTCCCTTACACTGTTTTAAATTATCTTAATTGTTCATTAACCATTACTTTATACATAATTTAAAAGCAGTGTAAGGGAGATAATTTCAATGATGTATTTGATTTATCTCCCTTACACTGCTTTAAATTATGTTTTGTACTAAAGTATTTGTCCATTAACCAGGACAACCTTGTTTTTCCCCCTTTTTTGCCCCTAATTCCTAAACGGTTTGAGCCATAACCCCCCAAAGCAAATCCTAACTATCCCTTTGTGGTATGGAAACTTGTAGTATAATTTCAGAGAGATCCATACACCGTTCCACAGTTATTGTCTGGAAACTAGAAAATGCTTATTTTTGGCCCCTTTTTGGCCCCTAATTCCTTAACTGTTGGTACCATAACCCCCAAAATCAATCCCAACCTTCCTTTTGTGGTATTTAACCTTATGGTCAAATTTCAAAAAGATCCATTCACTTAAACTAAAGTTAGAGTGCGAAAACCAATGTGTCTTCGGA